ATAGTCCTTGACCTCCTTGCGACGCATGAGCATGGGAACGTTGTTGGAGACAGAGACGCATGTAGCGATAGGGAGAGCAGTGTAGGGGACACCGCAGACGAGGTCGAAGGTGGTGTTGGTAGGGAGGGAAGAGATTAGGGATTGAGAAATCTGGCCGAGGAGGGAGGGATAAGAGACGATGAGACGAAGATCGATATAGATTGGGGAGGAGATGCCGGATTTCAGCTTGAAGTTCCCGAACTTCACGGCGGATATCTCATGAAGTTGCAGGATGAGAGACTCCATTCCTGACATCTCTTGGTGTCTGAGGAAGACTGCTGCTGCTGCTGCTGCTGCTGCTGCTGCTGATGAAGAGCGGGGATGGGGGACTGCGGAGAGGATTTTTGTAGGGTTTTTGGATCTATTGGATTGAGCTGCCCAAACTTCTTTTTGAAGTTACTTCTTTTTTTTTTTGGTCAAAATACTGATTTCACCTTTCCAAATTGCACTCTGAATTTTTTTAAGTTTTAAATTAACTCTTATATTTTAAACTATACATAGATGATCATAGTAAAAAAAAATAATACTATTAAATATCCGTACATATTAATAATACATGATATTCATGTTAACCCGTATAAAAATTCTCTCATTGATCAAATTTATCTAACCAACTTCGAGCACTCATTTTTCTCTAGTAACGTGTACTTTTTTTTATGAAACATTCACAAGTGCAAGCCGACTTAGATAGTTGGGTTCTTGCCGTTTCCTCTCACTTTCCTCTCTAGTCTTTTGTTTCTTGCTCTATTTGCCTTTTAAACTCAGATCTCTTCAATATCACCATGATTCCTCAAAAAACAAACAACCTCCATCGTGTAATGCTCTATTCTAAAATCAAGTAAACAACTTCAACTCTTATCATAATCTTGCATCTTCACGATCACTTTAAAATCTTTTATTTATGAAACATAAGGATGTATCTGCGTGATTCTCGTCCCTTTATTACCTATTTCTCTTCATTTAAGTGAAACAAGATGTTGATGGACTTGATACCTTTCTTTCATATTCAAGTTGATTCATAAAAATATTGGTTGGAATTTAGAGAGTTTCACAACGCGAATGAAGGCGATGAAAGTAGTTTAATTCCTCTACAGGTTGCAATAGTTTGGTGCTAAGTAAGGTATTAGGGTCACTCTGATGTACTTGTGAGTTAGCAGACATATATGTCACGAGAGCGACATGACATCCACGTAATACAT